TTAATTGATATATGATTTAATAATGTTTTAAGGGGGGAGGGAATATACTGTTTTATCTTTGCTGTTCTTTTAACTGTTGTAAACCGCCTAGATTGGTTCGCCATAGGGCGGCATAGAAATAAAAATTATTATTATTATTATTATTATTATTATTATTATTATTATTATTATTATTATTAATGATGTGGCTACAGGTCTCGGAACTGTGAACCATTTGGATGCAGAGTTCTGGGGAGGGTGTTCAAACAACCAGGAAAGACCAGGAAAGGAGATCCTGTAGAGGTTCTCAATCTTCCTGGAAGTAGAAGATACAGTAGCTGGTGCTGTCCACAATCGTTCTGCAATCTTCTATGGAGTTATGGAGCTGGGTGCTATCAGTATGCGGATGACACCCAGATCTATTTCTCCGTGTCTCGTTCGTCGGCCTTGAATTCCAATGGCGTGTCCTCTCTCAATGAATGTCTTTGGGCGGTAATGGGCTGGATGAGGAAAAACAGATTGAAGCTGAATCCAGACAAGACGGAGGTGCTCACGGTAGCAGTCCACATGGGGGACCTTGTCAAAGGCTTTATTGAAATCCAGAAAAGAAAGCAGATGAGGGAAAAAGAAATGGCTTAATTATTAAAATTTCATAAAAGGAAATGGTTATTATACAATAAGAGACATACAAGCAACACATATAAATATCAATTGTATAACTGTGAGTGAAAGAATTTAGTGACTGACTGATAAGATCTGTTCCAAATCTTATCAGTCAGTCACTAAATTTTTTCACTCAGTAGATTTAAATTTTCCTCATGTTGACTTAGGAAAGCTAGTTTACAGGATCATAATGGATAAATCTCCATGTAATACAAGTACAGTATATATTTTCTTTATTTTTATTTTTGAGTGTAATAATGGGTATATAGCTTAATAACATTTTCTTAGTTTATGCCAGTGCCCTCTGCCCTGTTCATCTGGTTATTCTGTTTATTATGTACTATACTGCAATAAACCAATTAAAAAGTGATTTAACATTTTAAAAAATAGCTGGATACTGGAACTAGAGTGTGTGTGAGACCCAAAGTCTTCATGACAAAATCTGCTTTATGAATTATTTCTTCACTACGTACTCCTTTTGTTTCACTGCCACAGCAAACTGTTTGCTAATATCCGTTTGAACTATGCTTCTGAATCAGGACAAGTTCACAGAGTTGAGGGAACTGCAAGGGCCAACGACAACAACAACAGTAACAACAACAGGTTTAAGGCTGAACTGAAGTCAATTTTGTTTAAGGAAGCATTGCAAATTACCACCTGAGTAGCTGGCTGATAATGTGTCTTAATTGTATTTTTCCCATAGTATATTGGTTGAATCAGTTTCAGAGATGTTTTAATTTTATAATTTTGTTTTGTTTTTAGATTGTATGCCATATGTACCTCTTTTGACTGTTCATAATGTAAAGCGCTGTGTAAATTTTACAGCGCTGTATAAATAAACTTTAACAATAATAATAACAGCCTTTGCTATAGTCAGCAGACCAATAGGCAACATCTTAAATACATAGACATGTTAAAATGACACTGTAAAACATTTAATACCATTTACAAATACAGTCAGTCTTCCACATTTGTGGCTTTGACTTTTGCAGATTTGCATATTCACGGATTTGAGTAACATGTTCTCTTTAGGAATCTCTAGGTCCTCCAGATCAACTCTACTGGACGTTAACCATAGAGTTGCAATGGAGGACCTAGAGATTCCTAAACAAAACACTTCTCTAGGTATTTCTAGATCCTCTAGAATGATTCTATGGTCAGTTCTAATGGATGTTGACCACAGAGTTGCACTGGAGGACCTGGAGATTCCTGGAGAGGTGTTCGCTCAAGTTAAAAAATAGTGGGTTTTTTTATTTGCATTTTTTCCACTTTCATGGGGATGCTGCTTCCCTAACCCCAGTGAATGTGGAGGGCCCATGTTTGCTGTTTGTTGTCAACTGCTCTCAAGTGGATCTCGATCCATGGCAACCCTATGGATGAGACATTTTCCAGTTGCTCTGTCCTCCACTGCTCTGCTTAAATCCTGCAACCTCTTAATACTCGGACTCTACCCTTAATAGAGTCCATCCATCTGCCATGTGGCCTTCCTCTATTCCTACCTCCCTCCACGTTCCCTCCACCTTCCCCAGCGTTATTGTCTTTTCTAATGAGTCTTCTCATGATGCGTCTGAAATACGACAGCCTCAGTTTGGCCATCTTGGCTTCTTCCAGGGAGGTTTTCAGCTTAATCTGCTCTAGGACCCATTTTTTTGTCCTTTTGGCTGTCCATGGGATCCTCAGCAATCTTCCTCAGCCCCATATTATCCCAAATGCATTGGTATTCCTCCTATCTTCTTTCTTAACTGTCCAGCTCTCACATCCATTCATAGTAATAGGGAATACGATGGCTTGTATGAGTCTGACTTTTGTTCTGAGTTGTATATCTTTGCATTTTAGATCTTTTCTAGTTCTTTCATAGCCACCCTCCCCTTTCTTAGTCTTCTTCTGATTTCCTGACTGCAGATCCCATTTCTATCAATGTTTGATTCCAGGTATGGGAATTCCTTTACTATTTCTATTTCTTCATTCTCTACATTGAACTTGTGAAGGTCCTTGGTGGTCATCTTGATGTTCAACATTAAGCCTACCTTTGCACTTTCTTCTTGGATCTTCCTTAGCAGGTGTTCCAGGTCTGTGAGATTTTCTGCTAGTATTATGGTGTCATCTGCATATCTTAGATTGTTGATATTCCTTCCTCCTATTTTCACTCCTCCTTCTTCTGTGTCCAAGCCTGTTTTTCTTATATTATGTTCTGCATACAAGTTGAACAGATAAGGTGAAAGGATACAGCCTTATCTGATCCCTTTGCCAATTGGGAACCATTCTGTTTCTCCATCTTCTGTCCTGAGTACAGATTCCTCATTAGGATTATCAGATGTGCTGGCACTCCCATGTCTTTAAGGGCCTTCCATAGCCCAGTTTACAGGTATATTAATTGTTACAAAACTACATAGTAATAAAAACAAGGTGAAGTTGAAGGCTTTCATGGTCGGCATCCCTAGTTTTTTGTGGTTTTTTCGGGCTGTGTGGCCATGTTCTAGAAGAGTTTCTTTCTGACATTTCACCAGCATCTGTGGCTGGCATCTTCAGAAAATGCTGGCAAAACGTGAGAAAGAAACTCTTCTAGAACATGGCCACACAGCCCAAAAAAAACCACAAAAAACAATAAAAACAAGGATAGATATTTGTATAAGTTCTCTCTATCTCTCTTTTATATATATCACAGAGAGCCAGTGTGGCGTAGTGGTTTGAATATTGGACTGTGACTTTGAAGAACAGAGTTGGAATCCCTGCTCAGCCCTGAAAGCTACTGGGTGACCCTGGACAAGTCACACACTCTCAGCCTTAAAAGGATGACAATGGACCCCCACCCCTCATCCCCCGAAGAAACTGGCCAAGAAAACCCTGTGATAGGTTCACCTTAGGGTTACCATAAGTTGGAAGGGACTTGATGGCATGGCACACAACAAACACCAATATATATCACTTTTATTACTGTCACATGAGCCACTAGAATGCATAATATGAAATATAAAAACATTAAATTAGCAGCTATAAAAACAACCAGGATATTAATGACCTATGGGCAGAACTAATTGTCATTTATATGCAAATATCATAATCTCACATGCTTCAGCAACAAAGAAGTACTTAGCCACCACTTCCATAGTGCTTTTCTCAGAGTCCCATAGTTAAGTGCTCCAGGTACCAGCTGAAAGATCTGCCTGGGAACTTAATTAGTAAAGATGAAATTAATCTTGGTCTCTCATCCTTGTAAATAGTACCAAATATATCTTGTTTGTTGTTAACTGCCCCAATTCATGGCAACCCTGTGAATGAGACATCACCAAGACTCCCTGTATTCCTCTGCAATGCTTAGTTTCTGAAAATTCAGGTCTGTGACCTCCTTAATTGACTGTATCCATCTAGGATGCAATCTTCCTCTCTTTCTACTACCCTTTACTTTTCCTAGCATTATTGTCTTTTCTGGTTGTCTATGCCTTCTCATGATGTGGCCAAAGTACGACAGCCTCAGTTTCATCATGTTGTCTTCCAAGGAGATTTCAGGCTTGGTCTGTTCAAAGATCCATTTGTTCATCTTTTTGCCGTCCATGGGATCCTGAGCACTCTTCTCTAGCACCATATCTCCACTGAGTTTATTTTCTTCCTATTCACTTTCTTCATTGTCCGCTGTCACATCTGTACATGATCTTGGGGAATACAGTGGCTTGGACGATTCTGACTTTAGTGCTCAGTTGTATATCTTTACATGTTAGGATCTTGTCTAGTTCTACAGAATGCAAGGACCAGTGGCCAGTGCAGGAATCCTCAGCTGAATCATCTGGGGAGAAAAAAGTCAAAAATTGACCAAATGGCAGCCAGAGGCGTCACAACATCACTTTGAGCACACACCAAATGTGAAGCCTGCTGAGGAGGGGAGATACCAGGCTGAAAACTTGCTCCCCATCTCTCCTTTTCAGTTGCCCACTTCTTTTCTAACTAAAAGGTGTGATGTCTGTGCATAGATGTATACATGCATGTACCTGAACCACATTGCCTTTTCCCCAGGGGCCACACGGTGAAGGCTGTCTGTGAATCGTTCCACTTAGCCAAAGACGCCGGATTCAAGGTGGTGGCGCACATGATGCCAGATCTGCCCAACATGGGACTGGAAAGAGACATTGCCCAGTTTGTGGTAAGAAAGACTCCAACCTTGATTCTGTCTCTTCAGTTCTTTTTGGATGCTTCATCCTTGGTTTCTTATTTGCATCAACAATACACTGTGGTCTCCTTTTGGGGGTACACCATTTAGAGTTTAAGTTGATGTTGTGACAAGAATGAACAGAAATCCTGATATGTTCTTTGGCAGTGGCTAAAAGATAATGCTTTAAAAATGCATTTACATTACACAATTTGGAGTCAGTGTGGTGTAGTGGTTTGAGCATTGGACTACAATTCTAGAGACCAGGGTTTGATTTCCCACTCGGCCACGAACATTCACTGGGTGACCTTGAGCAAGTCACACTCTCTCAGCCCCAGAAAACCCCCATGATATCTCTGCCTTGGAGTCGACATAAGTCTGTGTCAACTTAAGGCATACAACAACAACAAATACAGTTACAACTATGTGATATCACTTTAACTGACATGGCTCCATCTTATGAAATGAATCTTAGGAAGGGTCCTCAAGGGTCATGTAGTCCAACCCCCTACCATGCAGAAATACACAATTACAGCACTTTTGAAAGATGCCCATCCAACCTCTGGTTAAAGGCCAATAAAGAAGGAGAGCCTGAAGCAAGAAAAAATGATTCCATGTAAACATTGGGAAGAATTCCCTGGCTGTTAAGAACTTTTTAACTGTGGAACAGACTGACTCAATAAGATAACTATATTAAATCCCATTTTGGGAGAAAGATGGTTTATAAATCCAACAAATAAATAAATAAATATGTACATATTAAAGCAGGTTGCATGTACACCTAGAGATGGGGCTGTTAGCTATAACAGCTGGAATATTTCTTCATTGTTGAGAGGTAAAGTAACAGGTAGTGTGACGTAGTGGGTTCAGCATTAGACTATGACTCTGGAGAGCAAGGTTTGAATCCCCACTTGGCCATGGAAACCCATTGGGTGCCCTTGGGCAAGTCAGACACTCTTAGCCTCAGAGGATGACAGTGACAAACCTCCTCTGAAAACTTGCCAAGAAAACCCCTTAGGGTAGCCATAAATCGGAAATGACTTGACAACAAAATAACACATGCACAAAGTAACTGCTGGTTTGCAGATTGGACCTGGAGCAGGACTCTTCACCCTAAAATAGTGGAGGATGGCACCTCTCTTTCTCATCTCAGAAGCCCCCCCATGACTAGGTACAGAAGGGCAATGAATTAGGAGGTGGCATTTGAACACTTCTGCTGGAAGCGGTTCACCCGGGCTGGTTGGAGAAGTCTCTGCTGCTTCTAGGCTCTCCAACCATGGCAGATTAGGCCCATTATAAATCTTCTAATAATAGACGCGATTGCTTGGATGCTCTTTGTCTTGTTTAAGGCTTCATTTGCTTTATCGTATCCCTCAAAGATAATGAGAATCTAAAGATAGAGCGCCTTAGTAATCTCTCTCTATAGAATTGTCAAGCAGATCAATATCCATGTCAGGGACTTTGCTGCTTGATGTACGGCTTGAAGGATGTGACATCGGGAAAATGGTAGTCTTGGTAGTTGCCCTTTGCAGACTCAAAGTACCTCCTTTTGGTCACTTTCTAGGTGTGTTTTTTTTTTTAATTTAAAAATCTCCCACTCTATAATATGTACTTTCCAATATGGGCCAAAGCACAATACAGAAATAATCCAGTTTGACACCACTTAACTGCTGTAACTGCTCTGGCTCTGTGCTATGGAATCTTAGGATATGTAGTTTGTTGTGTCACCAGAGCTCTTCAATAGAAAAGGCTAAATGTCTCACAAAACTACAGTTCCCAGAATTCCCTAGCATTGAGCCAGGGCAAATAAAGTGGTCTCAAACTGGATTATTTCAACAACGGGTTAATATAAAACTTGGAGTTTAATGGGGCTTACTCCTAGCCAGGGTCTAACCTGCACTTCAGAAATGCAGTCCTCCCTCTGTTCTTGCGGAGGATCCATTCTGGACCCATTGGCTTGAATGGAGGCATGCTTTTGCGGGCACGCGGAGGTGTGTGCCATGAGACCTGGTCCTAAATCCCTGCAAGATTTGTGCGGAAGAAGGCTTTGCCCTTACTTTCCATTTGAAATTGAGAAACACAATGGGTTTCCGTGGCTGAGCAGGGATTCGAACCTTTGCCTCCAAAGTCATAGTCCAGTGCTCAAACCACTATGCCACGCTGGCTCACATTGGGCTGATCAATGGCCCAACTCTGTGGTTCTTCTTCTGTGGTTACTTGGTTGGTCCCTTGTTGCTTTTTCCAGACAAATGGTCATCCGCCATGGGAAACTCAAGTGTTTAATATCACTGCCTGGGGGATTCTGGGAGTTGTAGTCCAACACAGTAAATTTTTCTGAGCTCCTTTAGAATGAAGTTAAGCATAAGCGAAAGGAGAATGTCTATGGCAGCAGAAGGAGGGAAACCCATGCGCCGTTTCCCAGGTTTGCCATTTTGCTCAGTTCTATTCATCTGATGCATGGTTCCC